CGGCCACATTGGTCGACTCCATACAAAGTTCTACAAAGGTGCGTTAAATGTTTCGGCAAATAACTCAGAAACTGTGGGTCACAAAGACCTGAGACTTGGACAAATTGTTTATATATTAGTGTTTTATAACATTTCATTTTCTCGGCTTCTTCCACTGAACGCTTTATAGTTTTTTTTTTTTTTTTGTGCCGTGTTTATTGCTTGACAGTGAAAACGAAGAATAGTATGAAACTACCAAAGGATATTCACACCCAGCCGCTTGAATACATGGGTAAAGAGAAACACTGTAACACTGAAGTGTCTCTGCCCAAGAATATAACATGATGATACTTCAAAAATATAGTAAATTCTTAAACGGCCAGCGGAGCAAACAAACGCACGTCTACATGCGGCGACGTTCTCTCCGGTCTCCCCTTAAACTCTCAAAGTTAACTACATACAAATGATTTTTTCACATCATCGTCCATATTGGCCATGGCACCTAGCGCACTCTCCATATTAAGTATTTCTATTCATAATACGCAGCAATGGTTAGCTCAAAAGCTAAGCTCCTCTGACCACCGTACACTTCTATCAAAGCCACTCATTTCTTTCGTTTCTTTTTTTCTCTTTTTTGTTATTTTATTCCCACGTTACTATAAACAGTGTAAATAGTATTTAAAGAAATTTCGTCAAGAAGCCGTAACCATAATACTTTTTTGGTGATTTTTGCTGGCACAGCATTAAGACCCAAGTTTTTTCAAGTTTCAATCTAAGTCCATCCTTGCCATGATCCTTAGCAACAGACCGCGACAGGAAACAGTTTCAGCGCCTAAATATAGTCTTAAATAACAAAACTGGATCTCCATTATTCATGGAATTAAACGGATGCGAAGACACGTTTGAGGTTTTTACAAGGGTAGCAAATAGCGTGAAGTATAACCCCAAAACGCCAACCAAAGCCGCCCAGTAATGTGTTTGATAACCTCTCTTGACAGGGGCACCCAACGTCAATTTTCGGAAAATATCTGTTCGGAAGACGGTTTGAGATCTAGAATTTTCGGAACATTTGTTGTAAAATGTCTTGCTTGCCTGCCTCTCCTAGGATTTTCGAACATCTAAAAAAATGGTATAATTGCCCATTTTTAACGGATTTTTACCCTAAAAAGGTTACCTTGAATTTGCGGGAGCCTTTTTTCTGGCTGAAATTTTCGAAAAGGTAAGTTTTGATCCCTATAATTTTCGGATCACTAGACTTTCAGCTAGGAAATCCGAACAGATGAAAAATTTTTAGGGAATAAAAATATCCCTATATCTACCGTTTAAATACTAAAATACGTTTAACAATGCTATGTTTAAGTGGTTTTGAACTATATTCTCGTTGGGTGCCCCTGTGTTTAGTCCCTTTCTTCTTAGGAGAGTCTGGGGGTGTGCTCCCCCAGAAAATTTTGAAATTTTTGGAAGCCCTAATATGCAATTTTCAGCGTTCTGGGCACTAAATTGAGTAACATAGGAGATAGGAAGATTTCTTATCAACAGCAGTGATGTTTAATTTTTAATGCTGATCAGTTATGATTCACAAAATAATGGCAGTTTGAGTGCTGATACATTTCCTGGAAAACAATAAATATGAACAGATTCACTGAGTATGATTAGTAGCTATCTGCACTTCATGCAAAAGTTGTGTATTGTCAAAAAGTAAACAGTTTCTTTTTTAGTTTTACAACTGCTTTAATTAAAGTTTGGTCAGAATCTTTGTTTAATTTAATACTTCATTCCTAGCTTCAATTAAGTCAAGTCCCGAGGCACCCTACAAGGACAACTAGGAAAAGAGAAAGATACGCAAGAAATACCTGTCAAGTGAGAAGGCTGGCTACCCCCACGATAGTACTGACGGGAGTGTGGATATAGATCTGATACGCATCGCTGGACCATCTGCCAGGTGTCTTGATGAGGTGATCTGGTAAGCCACGAGAGGCTGCTGAAGTAGCATCGCCAATGCAGAAGCTATGACCAGTGTAGCAACCAGGGACCCCAGCAGCGGAGAAGATAGATTGAATATTGGATGTCAGCCATTGGCGATGTAGAGGGGTGCCATCAGAGAGAAGGAAGAGTTGGCCAGGAGTTGAGCCACGGCCGTGTAGATACTGGGTAAGGGCGTGTACAGGGCAGAGATCGCGTTTACCAGCACCAATGTAAATATTACAACCTTGGCAAAAGGGGTCCGTCTTCGAGCACTTAATATGAATCCTGAAGCTGCTTGGATTGACTAGGGAATCTGCTTGGACATCACTGACGGCAAGGTGGATGTCAGGATTGAAGGGGGAGTTGACAGTGAACTCACCAGTGCGTAAGAAACCAAAAAATCCGAGACAGCAGGCAGCCCAAAGTATTGTATGGTTGTAGTCAGAGAAGTTCAAGGACCGGAAGATAATGTGTATCAGCTCGATTGTGATGTGTTGGCGCTGACGCCTATTTGAGCCTTGGTGACGTTTGATACCCCGCAACACACGCTGTAACCGAAGGCAACCAACCAGCGGAGAAGGATGACCCTCCTCGATGTGAAGGGAGCGGATTGCTGAAAGATAAACCTTTATGGATGAATGGTGGAGAGTATCAGCAAGATGACAGCAGAAACGGATCAGCACGTCTTTACTGGCTGGAAGAGCTGATCCCGAAGGAGATAGACTATTGTCCTGAGCACAGAAATCCAACAGGCGGCGTTGGGCAGAAGCATAAACTTTTCAGTAGAAGGGGCAAGACCCTGAGTCAAATAGAAGTGGCATTTATCTGACAGCGAAGTTCCAAGTCCGAGAGGAGCTGCTGCGGAATCTGCGTTGGAATGGAGTCTGCATGAGGGGCTAGCCGGCGAAAGCGCTGAAACTGAAAGCGAGACAGGGAGTCAGCAATGGGGTTAGACTTCCCTCTAACTGGGGAGGCAGTGAACGAGGCGTGACGAGCTGCCAACAGGGACAGATAGCGAACCAAGGACATGATGGTAGGGGCTCTTGAAGTGCCAGACCGCAGAATCTCCACCACTGAGCGGTTATCTGATAGGAAGTTGACGCCTTTGGAGGCCCACTGGGGACCCCAGAGGTAAGCTGCTACGACGATAGGGAAACGTTCCTTGTACTCGATAGACTGAGAGACCTGTGATGGGAGCCATACGCCCGAAAACCAGTGACCCTGGAAGACTGCTCCGTAACCAAGAGCCCCAGAGGCATCTGAAGAAACCTCGAAGTCGGGAAGTGGAGCCCACTGGGGGTACTGAAGGAAGCTGCAACCATTCCAAGACTGGAAAAACTCTTGCCACCAGGCTAGGTCAAGAAAGAACTCTCGATTGAGACGAATCAGGTGGTCATCGTGTCGAAAGGTACATAGTAGGTTGATCATTCGGTGCAAGAATGAGCGACCTTGGGGTGCGATCTTGCAGGCATACTGAAGGTGACCTATTAGAGACTCCAGTTCCTTGCGTTTACACCAACGCTTTTGTGACCAATCCTCCAGCAAGGCAGTTATCCTATCAAATTTGTCCTGAGGAAGGCGTGCCAGCAGATTAAGAGAGTCCAGTTTAATGCCCAGGATAGTTAGGCACGTCGATGGCCCTTCTAGTTTGTCTGGATGAAGTGGGATTCCAAGCTTAGAAAAACAGTCAATTGACCTGTCCAGATTGTGTTGACAGACAGAGGAGCCGGGAGGGCCAAGAGTATGGAAGTCATCAAGGTAATGTATCAGGAAGGTGACATCGTAGTTTTGCTTGGCCACCCACTCCACTAAATCTGCTACACATGTGAAGATATATGGAGCTGACCTGACACCAAAAGGCAGGACCATATCAACATAAAAGGCACCACACTATTTCATACCCAGCAACTGGCGATCTTCTGTATGGACTGGTACAATATGGTATGCATTTTGCACACCAAATTTCGCCATAAGGGAACCCCGCGCCAGCCGCATTATGCCCGCAATAATGTCATCTACCTTCATGTACTGCGGAGAATAATCCTCACCCGCAATTCCGTCGTTGACAGTGTGGCCCCCAGGGCTAGACAGGTCCAGGATAAGGTGCCATTTTCCAGGTTGGTGGCGTTTGGGGATGACGCCGAAACGACTCACATGGGGGACAGGGAGGGGAGGCTGGGAGAAGGGGCCCGCCACCCTGCCTATCTGAACGTCCGATTGCAAGGAATTGTCAATGACCTGAGAGTTCAGGAGTGCTGAAGCCATATTCCCTGTTGCCGACTTCAGGGAAGTACTGTAGTTGAAGCCTAGGTGAAAACCATAGCGAAGGCCTTGGACCACGTATGCAACCGGTCTGGGTTAGGATGATGACAGAGTTCATACTGGAATCTATCCGCATTAATGGGAGTAAGCTGAAAAACTGGTCTTAAAGGACAAACAGTTGGAGAACACAAGAAAAGAACCGGAACTTGGCAGACCCTGCTACTGAGAAGGTAAAACAAAAGGAGAACGCAACTCTAACGCTGAAAAATTACTATGAGAACCAACGTGAACAGAAACAAAACTAGTTACAGCTGAATTGGCTAGAGGTGGTCTAGCGACGGCGGAGACCCCCTTTGACTGAGAAGGGGAGCGGGACCGTTCTCTCCGTACGGACCGGTGAGGGCAGTGGATGCGGGGGTGGTCCCCGTGGCACGATTCACAGGAGTGACGAAACCGGCAGCGACCGAAGGGCCAGCGACAGCGCCCATCGTTCCGGGAGTTGCAATACTGGCTAGACCAGGGATTGCCTGAATACCCAAGAGGCTCTGTTGGTGACGAGGCAGAGGAAGTTGAGGAACCTGAAGCAGCTGAAGTGGTAGCCGGAGATCTGGTGTGAAAGTTGTAGAGGTCTGGGTGCATGCGAGACCAGTCGGTTGAACCTGAGGCTGCGGCTTCTTTTCGGAAGGCGATGTCGTAGTGGAGCCACGATTTGTCAGAAAAGCGCCTTGCTGTCTGGATAATGAGTAACTTGTACTGATTTAAATCTTTCCAGCGAGAGGGGAAGGTGTGGCAAAGAATCTATTTCGATGACCCGTTTCTTAGACCCTGATACCACCAGTTTTCCCTCCAAAAACGCCTGGGGTTTGATTTCTTGAGCTCGGATATTGTCCGGAAGTTGGCCAGCCAAGTCTACAAAAAGCCCTGCGGTAATTTTCGAAACAAGCTTATAAGGGACTGGAGCATAGCCAGGACCCACCACAAATGCTTTGTTGAGGTTTGGAAACGTAAAGGACTCAGTTCCGGTTGCGCCACCACAAGAGCCCCCAACCACTACAGGCAAGTTGGCGGAGAACGTGGCGGGAAGAGAAGAGACTACCGAAGGACCTCCGGATGAGCTGTAAGTTGAAATAAATGAGGGCACAACAGGTGTACCTGAAGACTGGGAGGTAGAGCCGGGGGTACCGCAACTGGAGGATGCCGGAGATTGCGTAGAAGTCGAAGCCAAGGGGAGAGGAACAGAGGTCGCGGCCATGTTGGAGTTCCTGCCACTGGACTCTCGAAGGGAAGATAGAAAAGGAGGGAGTGATTCCGCGAGAGCACTTGAAATTGCCTGTGCTAACGCGTTGGTGTCCGGCAGGGAAACAGGTTGACTTAGCGGTGAAGCTGGGGTGTTAACTGTAGGAGCTGGGGTAGAACCGCTAGAAGAAGATGAAGACGCGGTGACCGAAGAAGACATAGTAGACAAGCTGTTGTTCGTAGTTCGCATCCTGAACGAATGTGACGACACGCACGCTTTGAAAAATAATTGAAGGAAAAAGGATACAAGAAAAAGCACACTGTAGGACTGCTGGTCCAGAGATCGCTAAAAAAGACGAAAGACGCTATATGAACCGCTCCACAGACCACTGCACAAATGCTCGACGAAGAACTCGCAGATCATAGCCGTGTATAAAGCTACCACAAACCATGTGAGCCTGCACTTATGGGATTGACCGCTGGATGCCCGCTATGCTCGTGGGCCGCTTGACCGCTAAGCATGTGGACCGCTTGACCGCTTAGCTTATGAACCGCTTGCCCGCCCCAAAGCTTGTGGACCGCTTGACCACTAAGCTTATGAACCGCTTGACCGCCCCAAAGCTTGTGGACCGCTTGACCACTAAGCTCGTGGTGGTTAACTTAGTTAAATTACATTTAACCAAATTTATGGCGAAAAAACAGTTGACCTGAAGCACAGTGGCCAACGGGTTTCATGGGTTGTCGGTGCTTATTGAAATCCCTGCTGTTTAGTGTCCCCTATCATTTATGTAACTCTGATCTTGTGTACCACACCATGGTAAGAGTGAATGATTATTAATTAATTCAACTCATTCTCACTCTTCTATAATATTATGTCTTTTTTACACAGGCTGAACTTGATGTAACTCTGCCTGGCAAGGATGGTGGCAAGGACAGAGTATTCAAGGTTCGTTTAAAGGCTTCGGTAAAACAACTACAATGAGGGGCTCCAGAAAATGCTCTACCAGAAGCTTTATAAAAAGTGTTCATGTTTGATTTTTAATTATCAAGGGCATGAAGAGAGTATACAGTATTTACAGCTAAAAGACATTAGTGATACAGTTCAATTTTACAATGCAGAAGACCGGTTACTCTTAGTGACGCAATAGTTATTCAGATTGTAGTCATTTGAATTCCCTTGAATGTTATTATTGGAGAAAATTTGGGTTTTACGTTTTGAATAAAGTAGTCCAGTTAATCAGGGTCCAGGCAATTAATTGCAGAGGTTTGACCCTCAATGATCTGTATTGTAAACCAGTAGTGACGATCAGTACACGTGCCTTCATTTGTCTTTTCCAGGTTAAGATCAAGTTTGCAGCATCAGTCAGTATTGATTCTTTAAGAAAATTCCTATTGGGACAACAGAATGGAAAATCAACTCAAGATGCTGTGCAGGCGCTGGACATTGTAATGCGACAAATGCCTTCAAAACACTTTACACCTGTTGGTCAATCATTCCTCCGTCTTGGTTATCATCCAGAAGACTTAGGGGAGGGGTGTGAAGTGCAGTTTGGTTTTTACCAGAGTATAAGACCCTCACAATGGAAGGCAATGCTGGTGAACATTGATGGTAAGATCTTAGACTAATACATGTATCATGCAGTTATATGCACTTGGTTGCTAGTTGCACTTACTTTAATAATATTGATTCCCATAAATAATTTATATTGAGCAAAAAAGTATAATAATATAAAGCAATTACCATCTTCAGCTCACCAGAAAGAATAGTCGTCTGGTGTCTTCTCCAGCGTCGTACCAATTATGGACCGCTTAGTCAATATTCTCGAGCGATTTCCGAGTTGTTTTCTACCACTTCAGCTTCCGCAATAACTTTTATCTTGAAAGCCATACTAAACGAGGAATGGTGTGCTTTAGCATGATGATAAAAAATAACAGCGACAAAAGGGATACTCAATCGATTGATACTTTGAAACATTTAACTGAGATTGTTGTTGTAGTTTATCTGTTGTCAAGTGATGGTATTTATACACTATGTTGGATCAATTGATATTTACATCTCTTAATTGGTTTGCTTTTTTCTTTTGTGTTTGTTGTAATTCATTAGGATTTATGTTTAGTGAGCCATTTTCTTATGTTTTCCATGAGGTTCGCTTGCTCAAATGGCCAGTTACAATCAAGAATTTTTACTCTCTGCTTATAGCCAATGGTTTTACTTCTTTGTTTTTGGCAGCTCAGTCTATCGGAAGGACTCTGACCTTCAGGGTCTTGGCTTATAGCCGAGATCGGCTTATAGGTGAAGAAATACGGTAATATTAGCCTGAAAAAACTGCATAGACCTTTGGGACGCCACCAACAGTTCTTCACAAAATTGACACCTGCGAACAAGCATAGAAATTCCATAATGATAATTTGTCACTCAACCCAGTAGTGAAGCCCCAAATGTGTTACAGTATTTACTAATAATTAAGTCAAATTGTATTTAACAGCTCCAAGTAATAAACTTGTTTACTTTTTCCCAACAGTGATGTTTAGTTTAGAACATTGACTGACTATTAATTTTGAAAAACTTTTGATATCACACTACTTGATAAAAGGGTTATTTCTTGCTCTTTACATGTACACTGCATCTTTGCATTTCAGTTTCCGCCAAGGGCTTTTATAAGAGTCAAGGTGTGGTTGACTTTGTTCGTGAAACTCTTCCACCTTCACAAAATCAAATTGAAGACCCTAGGTGTCAGATTGACATATCGAAGCTAGAGGAGGCTATAAGTGGTAATGATGGGGATTTTGGATTACAAGCATTGTCTTATGATTCATTAAAAATGTGTCCAAATATGGTTTAAAAGATGGTACTATGGTACCATGATTGTTACTATGTTGCAACCAGCTTAAAACAATAAAATGCACAGTTATTGAATGGGTTTTGAGTGGTTAATTCAAACCATTAAAAGTGGTTATCATCAACAGCTGAACTTTGAGAATATTCAAATTAAAAAGAAACTAAATGCGTCTTAGTAAAATCCAACTAGTGGTCTATTTTCCATGCTGCATTCTGATTGGTTGAGCTACTACTAGGCTATATGTTATTACCCAGTAGCGAAAAGGGCTGGCTTTTTGGAGGCGAAAAAGGATTTAAGTCTAGCTTTAACTAGCTAAAGTTTTATTGTCACGATATTTTTGACCAACTGGTAGGATTTTACTAAAAACAATTTTTCCTCTCGCCCTCATGGCCTCTGAGTCAATAGCCCATTTGGCCTTTGGCCTCATGGGCTATTGACTTAGAGCCCATTCGGGCTTGAGGAATAATTGTTAATTATTCTAACCATTTAAAACACCCACGTAAAACATCTGCTACAAACCCCTCACTCATCCCACCTCTTATGTTTTGTAGTTAATTAAAATTCCGGCCAAATTACCAGTACAGTTGAACCTTTACCAATCAGTGGCGGGTTCAGATCTTCCAGTAAGAGGGGGTCCCACTTATCAAGACCATAAGAAAAGAGGGGAGCCCAAGCCTCAAAAATATTCTTCAGCCTTGCTGGCTTTAGTTTGACTAAGAAATAAAGGAGGGGGCTGGGTCAACCAGGCCCCTCCCCTTCATCCACCGGCCCCAATGGCCACCTCATTCTTGGCAAAAACATCCACAGTGACTTAGACTCAAAGAAGGTTTTACCTGTGCATGTAATACTGCAAGGGAATTTAAAGAAAAGGAGGAGTATATCCTAGGATTTTTTTAGAGCTTAGATAGAAAAAGGCCGAAAGGAATAAGCGTAAACTTACTGGATAACCTATGCATGCGCATGCAGGGTTTTCATAATTTTTTTAAAGTAGAAGGGTACCCAAGGTTGAGTTAAGGTAGAGAAACTTAAAAAGTTTGTTTGAGACTTGACTTCTCCATTTTGCTTGGAGGCAGGCACTGTGCTCATAGTACACTGTCAGTGATATTTTCCTTGAACAACTCTTTGTACACTGATCTAAAGATCGTTGCACCCTCTTTTTGCTGTTAGGTTTACGCGTGCAAACCACCTATGTAAAAAGAAAGTACACAGTATGGGGAGTGTCCAGAGAGTCTGCGGACAGGCTGCAATTTGATGTTGATGATGAAACATCTGGTCGCCGCACAAAAACAACTGTTGCAGCGTATTTCAAGGATCGGTATAAGATGCAGCTGAGGTATGCTTCTTTACATCTTACATCTCCATTATCCAGCAGAGATTTTAAAAAACAGTATTCAAAGTTGCTTCTTGCTTATGAAATTGAATTAAAAAATTTGGCTAATCTCACGCAGGTTTCGGTTTACTGGCCTTACCATGCCCATGTGCACATCTTAAAAGATAACCTAATTATAGGAAATTAACGATTGTGTTAATTACGGGAAATTAATGCGACTTCAATTGATGAATTGGAGAAAAATAACTTTCAAATAAAGCATGGACAATAGAAAGACTGGATAGGAAACTTATGTCACGTGGGCTGATTTCTAATCGTCGATTGGCTGGTTCGTGCATCAAGTTGGCGTTGACTGGTTCCATCATAGTGGAAATTTGTGACAAACGATGGCGAAAATGTGGCGCAAACCAGTCGAAATGTAGGGTTTGTTTGCCTTCATGTTGTTCTTTTTCGGAGTTTTTAGTGCTACTTTAATTTTTGATGTGTGTTTTTCCCTTCGTTTGTTGTCTTACGGCGATGGCGACCCATCAAAGCCACACTTGAACCTTCGAGGTAAGCACTTCTTGTTGTTGTTTTGTGTTATTTGTCCTTGTCTTTGAGAAAATTTCGTCCCAAAAATTGATCTTACAGGGCCATATTTACTAGACTTGTCAACTATTTTGGGACGCCTTTATTTAGAAGGTTCTTTATTGTTTCTATTCATAACTACGATTGACAGATGTTTTAAGGATAGAATTGTGGCATAGGCATAGTTACAGACTGAGTGCTATTATTTTCCAGCCGTACGTTTCGATTGAAAATGACCGAAATTAACTACATTCGGAGCTAGCGCCGAACAAGTGTACGCACACGGTGTGCAATGTTCCAATCGGCAGACTTGTTTGTGTTGGGAACTGCTTCGCTCTGAAGTAATATCCTCGATTAACCCTGCTAATTGTTCTTAAAGCAGTATGTTAATTTCGCTCATCTTTTAATGTTGAAATATAACTCCTAAAATTATATATCCAGAGAATACAATCGCCTCACGTCGCTCCTCGAAGCTTGTATTCG